ACTTGGTTAAGAGGACATCTACCAGTTTTCTCCATTGTAAAATTACTCTTTCCCCTTTGTAGTTAAGAAATTGGCAAAGGAAATACCCTGTTCCTCAGCAAACTTTCACGATAATACTAGTTTTAACACTCTAAAGCTCTGTTAATGTATATATTTTGGCCAAAGAACTAGGTCTTACTGAAATATTTGAAAATCTAGATTGTGTGCGCAATGGTTTCTTTTTCCTCCAATTTTTTTTATTGCTGCAAAATACACATAACATTTACCACCTTAACCATTGTAAGTGTACAGTTCAGTGGCATTAAGTACATTCACAGCATTGTGCAAGTATTACTAGAACTCTTTTCATCCGTCTCTACAACTCTTTTCATCTTATAAAACTGGAAGTCTATACCTATTAGGCAGTAACTCCCCATTTCATCCTCCCCCTATCTCTGTTAAACACTATTCTACTTTCTGTCTCTATGATTCTTTTCTTTTTAAGATAGGGTCTCACTATGTAATTCAGGCTGGCATTGGACGCACTGTGTAACCCAGGCTAGCCTTGAACTTGCAGAGATCCTCCTGCCTCAGCCTCCCAAAGGCTGGCATTACAGGCGTGTGCCACCACGCCCAGCCTGTCTCTATGATTTCTGACATTTTGCAGTGCTGGCAATTGAACCTGAGGCCTTCTAGATGCTAGGCAAGCAGTCTGTCAATAAGCTATACCCTGAGCCCTGATTTTGACTTTAGGTGCTTTACAGAAGTGGAGTAAGTGGAATCATACAGCACTGATTTGTTTTTTGTTTTTTGGGTTTTTTTGGTACCAGGAATCAAACTCAGGACCTTGAGCTTGCCAGGCAGGCGCTGTGCCACTGAGCTACATCCCCAGCCCAGTACCTGTGTTTTTGTGCCTGTCTTCACTTGGCAGAATGTCCTCAAGTTTCATATGGTAACGCGTATAAGGAATTTCCTTTTTTGTTTTTGGTTTTTTGTTTCTTAAGATAGAGTCTCACTGTGTTAGTTCAGGCTGGCTTTGAACTCATGGTATAACCCCAAACTCAAGGCCTCCAACTCAAAGTGATCCTCCTGGATCAGCTTCCCAAGTGCTGGGATGTCCAGTGTGCACCATCACATCTAGTTTAGAATTTTCCTTTCTACTGCATTTTATCTATTCATCTGTTAATAGATGCTTGGTGTGCTTCCATATTTTAGCTATTATAAATGATACCCCTTGAAGGGATATAAAAATATCTCTCTTCTCTCAATTCTTTCAGGTATATGCCTAGCAGAGGAATTGCTGGAGCATATGGTAAACCTATTTTTAATATTTTAAGGAATCACTATACTCCTCTACGGAGGCTGTACCTCTTTACATTCCCACCAGTGGGGTACAAGGTTCCAGTTTCTTTCCATCCTTGCCAAAACTTGCTACTTCAGTAGTGTTTTATTCTATATGATAGTAGACATCCTATTGGATGTGAGGTATCTCATTATAGTTTTTGTTTGTACTTCCTAAAGACTAGTAATATTGTCAATCTTTTTATGTGCATAGATTTAATAATCATTGTTAAGCTTCTCTTGTGAAACATCTACTTAAATGTAGATCATGGTATAATACACTCATCCCAAGTAGGCTTTCCCCACATCACTCTACTAAAACTGTTCTTGTCAAGGTCACCAATAAAATTCCACTCCCTGTATCCAAGGATAACTTGTCAGTCTTATTAACAGTTTTGGACACAATGTATCTTTCCTTTCTCTTTGAAAGATTTTTTGTTTTGTCTTGTTTTAGACAAGGTTTTACTAGGTAGCCCAGGCTGGCCTGAAACTCACAGCGATCCTCCTGCCTCTGCCTCCTGAGTGCTGGGATTACAAGCTTCCAGCTAGAAAGACTTTTACAGTATTCCATTTGGCTTACAGGAAACTATATTCTCCTCATTCCCTTCCTACTTGATTTTCCTTCCCACTCTCTTTGCTCATTTTTCTCTTAAACTGTGACTATACCAAGGCCCCAACACTTAAATCTCTTTTTCTACACCCTTGCACTGTAACCTCGTGTCTCATGATTTTTAAATTTTTTTTTCATGATTTAAAATCTACCTGTATAATAGCTCCTAAATTTATTTCTTGTGAACATCTCCCCTGGTCTCAAGCATATCTTCCCAGCTTTACCCCCTGGATGTCACCACAGACATCTCAAACTCAACATACCCAAAACTAAGTTTATGATTTTCTTGTATCTTCCTACATATGCCCCTCCTGGAGTTTTCTTCATCTCAGCTGATGCCACTGTCATTCTTATCACTTGCTCAGATCCAAAACTTGGCAAATATCTTAGTCCTCCTTTTCTCATAGCTTACATATAATTCACAGTAAGTTCAAAGGTATCTTCAAATTAGACTTTGAATTCAATTTTCCCTTACTTCTTTTAGTACTACTGGTCCCAAGTATCATTATCTTACTCCTTGATCACTGTAATAACCCAGCTGTGTGTTTTTGTTTTGGTGGTACTGAGGATTGAACCCAGGGCCTGGGCACTGAGGTAACATCCCCAGCCTTATTTTTTATGTTGAGACAGGGCCCCATTAAATTGCCAAGTCAACTTGGCTTGCCTCCAGTGTATTACTGTATGTGCTGCCAAAGCAAGCACACTTCAGTGTATTATTGATGCAGCAGCCAAAGTGGTCTTATTGGAACTTGAATGACATCACTCCATTCCTCTGCTCACAATTCTGCAATGGCTTTTATTTTTGCTCAAAGTAAAACCAAATTCCTTGCATTTATTACAAAGCCTTCCACGGTCTTGTGCCTCACCCCCCCCTTTTTTTTTTTAGACAGGGTCTCACATGTAATCCACCCTGGCGCAAACTCAACTATGAGCACAGGCTGGCCTTGAGCTTGCAGCAATCCTCCTGCCTCAGCCTCCTGAGTGCTGGAATTACTGGGCCTCACCCTTCCTTACCTCTCTTATTATTCTCATGTCTTAGGTACAGAATCTTCCTTGGTGTTAAACATGCTGGTTCTTTCTACTGTAGGTCTTCTTTGCTCTTGCTATTTCCTTTGGCAACTTCATTTCCTTAAGTCTTTTCTGAGATACCTCCTTCTAAGTGGCATGTCTTCCTTAACTACCTTATAAACTGCAACCCTCTCCTACCTATCGCCTTTCACTGTGCTATTTTTTTTCCCCACAGTACTTATCAGAATCTAATAAAACTATGATGGAACATTAGCTCCCAAAGGGCAGGTATTTTTGTCTATTTTGTACATTACTGCACACCTAATACAACGCGGGCTACATAGCAGGAGCTTAGTCAACACATTTTTGTTGGGTTAGTATGAGATACCTCTGGAATAAGGTTTAAAAGCACACACAAACTAAAGCAGACTGAAGGGGAGGGGAGCTATCTAGGGAGGGGAAAGAAAGGGTCTGAGGAAAACTACAAGAAAAAGCTATCCCAAACCTGGTCTCGGAAAATATTTTTTGTATACCATAAATTCATGACTTTCTTCTGGGGGAAAATTTATTCCTGATAAGCAATTTTACAATTAATTAATGAGATTAAGACTTGTTTTAGAAGCTAATCTGCCATCCATCCGCTAATCTGCTTCTGTAGTCAGCCAACAATGATTACCTAACCCTTCTTTTCCTATGCTGTAAGTTCCTTTTCCAAGGAAAACTTAAAGCTGTCCTCTTGCTGTTCTCTTCCATTAAGACGGTAAACCAAACTGAAACATATCCATACTAGACTGAAATTTTAAAAGGTTTTTAACAGGCTCTAATACATTATACACATCTATATTTTAAAATTATCAATAGTTAAGATACATTTAGGTTATCCTCATGTTACTAAAATATTGAAGAAAGAATTCACAGGATATTTGCCTTTTAATAAATTGTCTATTTGTTGATTAGCTTTTAAAAATCTCATGTCTATACTGTAAGTAAAAATTACATACAATTTTACAGTTTTACGCTACAACCAGAGCTCTTCCTCAAGTGCAAAGGACACCAAACTACAACCTCCGCCGGAAGAAAAACAAATCCCTGCTGTTTTAGGACCCCAGCTTCTTGAGACTCACGGGAAATGTAGTCTTGGTGGTTTTCCCCAGAAGCTCCCGGAGGAGCACTTCTTTCGCACATGCGCAGCCCGAAAGCTGTCAGTTCTCTGTGTGCTTCTGTGCTGCGTAGAGACTCGGAGGGAGGGATTGGGGGGTGGTTTTAAAAGGGCAAGAGCGGTTTCTTGGTTCATAGTAAAAGGGTAAATTTTAAAATTATGTCCGTGTGCAGGGTAATTTGACCCTGAGAAATCCGAGTAAGGACAGAGCAGGCACGCAGTGGAGAATCCAGGCCCATGTTCTAATCTGTTCCTCACCTCATTTCAGGAGTCTTTTGCTTTTTTTTTTTTTCTTTTTTCTTTTTGTCTTTTTGAGACAGGATCTCACTATAGAGTTCAGGCTGGTGTTGAGCTCACTTTGTAGCGCAGGCTGGCTTCGAAATTGCAGCGATCCTCCTGGCTCAGCCCCCTGAGTGCTGGGATTACAGGCGTGCGCCACCATGCCCGGGGACTTTTTGGCTTTTAGGGAGCTGCAAAGCCCTGCAAGGGGAAGAAAACCAATCTTTCCAGCACTAGATTCTGTTAACCACTTTGAAAGAACATGACCTTTCTGTCGGTTACTCTTAAGTATCATGTGTTTGCAGAAAAACGTGCAGTTATCTGCTTCAAATCACATAGCTAGTAAGTGGAAGCGATGGTACTCAAACTTCATTTATTTTCACCCGGAAGTTCATTCTATTGACAGCATAGTACACGTCTCAAATTTTTGTCCTTTGGGAGGAGTGGAAGGCTAAGTGAACTTTAACTGGTTACCGTTTTTTGAGAGAACTCTTGGTTTCACTGCGGGAAGAACCTGAAGCTCCTCTTGCATTTTCCAGCCTGCGTCAGTTTCCAGCAGCCCCGGTTAAAAATCTACAAACGGCCAACCAAGCACCACAGGTGATGATGAGTTCACATTATTGGGTCCCAACCTGAAGTTTCCAGTTGAAGGAGTGTTATTTCTTTGTCCTCGGGGCCATCTTTTCTAGGAAAAAGATTAACCCTATATCGGGGACCTGGCCAAAACCCCCAGCTTCCTGTATGAGCGGTACAGTGAAAGGATGAAATAAGAAACAGTCAAATTTAGTAATGCATGAAGCCGGGCTGAGAGGTCAGTGCCTACGGATGGGCAGCGACAAAGGCGCTCCAAACCAGCCACTCTTTATTGGGTGTATATAACGGTAGGAGGGTTTAGCAGAAGACTGAAGTTTGGGGGAAGACGCAGACATCGATGACTCAGCGGGCAACGGATAACTTGGGGTGACTGAAGAGGGTGGAGGTGACCTTATGCTAAGAAGGATCTTGCTCTGCAGTGTTTTTTAATCTTAGTGGTCTTAGTTTTAGTCGTAGTGGGTGGCAGAGGATGACCCATCCCTAAAGAGGTAATGGGAAATCTCAGAAGGGTGATGCCAGTAATCCCAAGCCTCCATTTATCCCTTAGGGAAGTATGCAGAATTAGCCATTGTGAATTTGTAGTCCTCAACAATCCTAGGAGGAGGTGTTCCTGACCTGGGACTTTTTATCCTTTTTCAGGGCGGGGACAAGAACCAACTCTTGTCTCTCCTGTCTAAAGAGACTAGGATTTGATTCATGACACTACATCCAGAGCCATGAAGGACTCTGTTCATGGAGGTATTGTCTTGAAAGTTTGGAGAGGTGAGAATTCAGAAGACATCAGGAGGATGTGGATCAATATGCTCAGGCCGCACAGGGAATCTACCTAAGTGGAGAATGAGTATGATGGTAAGGAAGAACGAAAGTCTGCTACAGAAGAAATTCAGCTTCCCGAGTCTCTCCCTCCTGGGCTCTCACAAATACTCATTAACATCAGTGCATCCTCTTCCTGTCCCATTGGTTCTTTTGAGATCAGGCTGGCTGCATGTTTCAGCTGTCACACTTGGCTTTTGGGAATATACTGATTCTTGATACCCTCTCTCCCCTTACCTAAATGCGGAAGTCGTTTACAGAAGTGTGACTTGGCAGTGATAGGAATTTTAGAGGTTTTCTGATCCTGCTGCTTTTTTGTGAGGAGGAATGAAACTAGCGCTGAGATAATAACTGAGTACCTAGCGAATCTCACAGCTTGTTAGGGGATAAATGAAGCCTAAATACTCTTCATTTCCCAGACTCTTGTTTTTCCTGTTGTACCATTGAGTTGAGCCAAAGTTGTTTAATAAGTTTTGAAAACATCTAGGAAGGAGTGGACCAAAAATAAAAGCAGCTCGTCCATTATTCCATGCGGTGAGTGTTTAGAGACCGCAGACTGTTGTGGTGCCCGGTTTTCCTCAGTGGGTAAAACATGGTCCTTGCTTTCTCTGGAGATTAAGAACCAGATAAACAAATATAGTCTATTATTTGGTAATAAGTACTCTGGAGAAAAATAAAACCAACCTGAAGGTCTGATGGACTGGGGAGGGCAATTTTATGTGAGGCAATGTAAGCAAAGCTGTAAAGGAATTTAGGTAGTAAGCCACTTAGTGTCTGGCATACCTTGGGGAACAGACATAGTCCGAGTATGGAAAGCTGGTATTTGGAGTAACAGCAAAGAAAATGGATCACTGATCAGAGTGGGCAGTGGAGAATGACTGAAAGACTCAAATGAGGTCATAAATGGGGAATTAAATGGCATCAGGCCTTATAGGACTTTTTTTAAAAAAAAGAGTTTTTTTTTTTTATTTTGTTTTGTTTTTTGCTGGCTGGGTGGGGCTATTGCTATGTAGTTCAGGCTGGGCTTGAACTTACTATGTAGCTCAGGCTGGCCTCAAACTCACTGTGATCCTGCTGTTTTAGCCTGTCTGGGATTACAGGTATGTACCACCATGCCTGGCTGTTCTATTTTAATGTCCTTTTAAAATTGTATGTATGTATGTATGTATGTATATATGTATTTATTTATTGTGTTTTTGAGACAGGGTTTCAGGCTGGCCTTGAACTCACTTTGTAGCCCAGGCTGGCCTCAAACTCACAGCAATCCTCTGGCCTCAGCCTCTCTCCTGAGTGCTGGAATTACAGGCATGTGCCACTACACCTGGCTAATGTCCTTTTTTTAAACCCCCCGAATACAAATGGAACCTCTTTTGATGATATCCTTGCATCCTTGTATGGCATCTTTTTTTTTAAAATATGATGACCACAACTTTTCCAAATTGCTAAATATGACCATTTCAATAAAATCTCAAGGATTTTTTTTTCCCCCAAGCTCTGGGGATTGAACTCAGAACCCAGGGCCTTATGTATGGTAGACAAGTGCTCTATACTGAGCTGCAACCCCAGCCTAAGGGATTATTTTTTTTTAAAGAGATTTAAAATTTATATTCAGATTATAATATGCTAATAATAGGAACTACTGATGTTGTAGGTCTATAGCATCATTTTCAGTGACTACATAGTACTCTACACTTTGACTAAATCATGCTTTTAAATTTTTTTTTTTTAGGGCCAGAGATATAGCTCAGTGGCACAAGCACCTGTCTGGCAAGTGCAAGGTGCTGAGTTCGATTCCTGGTACCAAAGAAAAAAAAATTTAAAAAAATCTTTTTTGTCTTTTTGAGACAGGATCTTGCTATGCAGTTCAGGCTGGCCTTGAGCTCACTTTGTAGCCCAGGCTGGTTTCAAACTCACAGTGATCCTCCTGCCTCAGCCTCCTGAGTGCTGGGATTACAGGTGTGCACCACCATGCCCAGCTTAAAATTTTTTTATGTTTTTAAATTTTTTTATGTTTTTAAAATCAAAATTCTATTAATGGACTTTTTAAAGTTATAAGTTTTCATATTATAAGCAATTATATGAAAATATTACTTATCTCTCTCTTTTTTAAAAATAACAATTTTATTGAATGCTTACCATGGGCCATGTATTGCTTCAAATGCTTTAATACACATGTTAACTATTTAATTCGCAAATCCTATGGTGTGTGTACTATTATTGTCACCATTTTGCAGACAAAACTGAGGTACAGAGTACTCAACTTTCTCAGGATCACACAGTTAGTAAGGGGAATAACAGAACTTGTACTCCCTGCTCTGTAGCCCAGGCTTTTGATCTTTGTACATATTCATCCGTTTTTATTTCTTTAGGATAAATTTCTGGGGGAAAAGAAAACACTAGATCAGAAGCTAACAATAAATTGTAATAGATCAGTGGGGTAGAAATGTACACATCTACCGAAGAGAGAACATCCTGTACAAGTTTCTTATGATTGTATCGGAATCAAAAATGAACAAATTGGTGTTTTCAGAACATGGATTTCCCTGATTTGCTTCAAAGGTCAGTATTCCTCCAAAAGCCTTTTTGATAACTAGCAGATGGGTACATACTTATAGGTTCAAAAGGCAGGGAACTCACTCCACTCTTATTTTCATAATGTGTCCTTTTGCATAAATAGCAGAAAATGACCAATTTCCAGGCAAGATGTTCATCCATCCATTTGTTCATTGAAATTTCAGTTTGTTTACCAGTGAATTTTCAGTGCCTCTTAAGAATCCATATAATAAAATAAAAAAGTATTAATAAGAATAAAAACAGGAAATATAACTTGATATTTTAACTGTATAGATTTTTTTTTTCAGCCCAGGAGTGCTTTACCAGTAGTCTTTTTATGCTTCTTGTGAAGTTGCCCAAACTGGCCTCCAACTTTTGATACTCCTGCCTCAGCCTCCTGAGTAGCTGGGATTAGAAAGATCTGCCACACCTTGCTAGAAAATTGATATGGAGGCCATAGGGTGTGTACACAGCTTGTAATACTAAAATGCAAATTTGCATTTTATCTTGCCTGTTTTAGAAAAAGAGTGCCTGATCAGTGAAGTTATTGGTCTTATTTGAGAGAGTAAGTACAATAATTCCATAGGTAAAGATTTTTCTGGCACTAGATATGAAGACATTTTTTATGAATGTTTACACAGAAAATTTATTGTAAATATAGTAGCAGTTATCTATAAAACACATGAAACCGAAGCATTGTTCATTAAACTTAGTATTTCCTTTCTCTTCCTCCCCACTTCCTTCTCACACTCTTGTTCATTCCTTCCCTTTTCTTCTCTGTGAGAGAGAAAGAGAGAGAGGGAGAGAGAAATAGATGCACACATATATATACTGGGAAGTTTAAAATGATTTTGTTTTTTCATAGATTTTGATTCTGAATCAAATACACAGTAATTATTAGCTATGTAACTTACTGCAAACTCTGCCCAATGAACATAATTAAAGGACTTGTTCTGAATCCCCTTCATTTCTCCCAGTGGTGCTCACCACAAGTTGAATATCAGTATGCTGTTACAGCAATCAGTGACATTACAGGCTGTGGCTGTGGACCTCACTTCAGAGGAGTGGCATCCACTTGATTATGATCGGAAAATACTACACTGGGATGTGATGCTTGAAAATTTGAGGAACCTGCTGGGCGTGATGGTGCACACCTGTAATCTCAGCACTTGGGAGGCTGAGGCAGGAGGAGCATTGCGAGTTCGAGACCAACCCGGGCTACAAAGTGAGCTCAAAGCCAGCCTGAACTGCACAATGAGACCCTGTCTCAAAAAAAAAGACAAAAAAAAAAATTAAAAAAAAACGAAAATTTGAGGAACCTAATTTCAGTGGGTAAGAACACCTTGCCTGTGTAACTTGGAATGTATCAATATAGCACCTTTCCTTTAAGACTTGCAAAAGCTGTGAACATTCTGAAACATTAAGTTGGACTTAAAATTTTAGTGGTCAGAGGTTCCTAATATGTACCTTGTAGAGATAAAGTAGTCTTTTTATGCTTCTGCCTCCCAAATGGAGAAAGGTCTGTTCTGTTCTAAAGCTTATTTGTGATTCTTTAAAGGCCCTGAGTCTCAAGAAGGCAGACCTGAGTTGTAACATATTTGTTTGCCTCACACTTTGTCCCCACATGTGTTGATTTTCCATCAGCAGAGCATCCATTTACCAAAACAAATGTGATCTGCAAAGTAGAGTAAGGATGAGAGCTATGGAAGGTGCAAAAAAGATTCTACGTGGGAGCTATGCAGGTGAGTAAGAGAATCAGATGAAAGTCTTTGGAGCCAGGAAATCTGAAGTGTGAGGTCTTCAGTTTTGTTCTTTAGATTATTTTGGGTCTTTGGTGTCCTTTGTGGTTCCATATGCATTTCAAGATTGCTTTTTCTATTTCTGCAAAAATGCTGTTGAAATTTTGATAGGGATTGGATTGACTCTGTAGATCACCTTGGGTAGTACTGACACTGAAACAACATTAAGTTTTAATCCACATGCATGGGCTTGTCTTCCCATTTTTTTGTGTGTCACCTTTAATTTCCTTCAGCAAAGTTTTTGTTGTAGAAACCTTTCAACTCCTTGGTGAATTCTATTTTTTTTAATGCGATTTTAAATGAGATTGTCTCCTTAATTTTCTATTTGGATTTTGTTTTCATTGCATGGACACACTATTTTATATGTTGTTTTTATTATCCTGCAACCTTGCTGAATTTGTTTATATTTCTAGTAGGTTTTTAAACACAACTTTAGGGTGTTCTACATATAAGATCATGTCTTCTATGAAAAAAGATAATTTTACTTTTTCCTTCCCAAGTTAGATCCTTCTTTTTGTTGCCTAACTACTGCAGCTAGATCTTTTAGTACTATGTTGAATAGAAATAGCAAGAGTAGATATCTTTGCCTGAAACCTGAGACGTCCTAAAATTTCTTTTTTTTTTTTTTTAGGGGGCATGGGGGATGGTGTCTCACTGTGTAGCCCAGGCTGGCCTTGAACTCACTATGTAGCTCAGGCTGGTCTTGAACTCATGGTGATCCTCTTGCCTCAGCCTCCCGAGTACTGGGATTACAGGTGTACACTACCACACCTAACTTGAAATTTCTTTCTATAACATTTAAAAAAGAATAACTGGGACTGTTTCATTTTATTCCTTTGTAGAAGTTGTCTGCCTACTTGAGCTAGAGAGAAAGAAAAGAAGCAAAGAGAATTTTCTGAACCAAGATACATTTACCATCCTGAAAACACTAAGGAGGAAGTCCAAAATTGTAACTGGAGCATGAGTAATATTTCTTCAAGACAAACAACATAAAGACGAATCAAATGGAAAGAGTTTTCAGTCTAATTTATGCTATCAATTATAGTAAGATGTATTCTGGAGAAAATGGTTATGAGCACAAAGAATGTAGAAATGTCTTCCAAAACATGTTTCATCTCATTAGACCTGAAAAAAAAAAAAGCACAACATAATAAAGATTTGAATGTAGTCAATGCAGGAAAGCCTTAAAAAAGGAGTCTCAGCCGAGTGTTGTGGCACACCCCTGTAATCCCAGCACTCAGGAGGCTGAGGCAGGAGGATCGCTGTGAGTTCGAGGCCAGCCTGGGCTACAAAGTGAGTTTAAGACCAGCCTGAACTGCATAGCAAGACCCTGTCTCAGAAAGACAAAAAAAAAAAAAAAAAAAAAAAAAAAAAGGAGTCTTGTCTCATTAGACATGAAAAAAGGAATACAGGAGAAAACAGGCTTTTGAATGTAATGACTATGGGAAAATGTTTAAGAAGAGGGGACACCTTGTAGCTCATCAAAAAGTTCACAGTAGAAAGAGATGCTTTGAGTGAAGAGATTGCAAGAAAACCTTTAAGTGTAAAGCAGGGTTTATGGTCCACCAGAAACTTCACACTGGAGAGAAACCTTATGGGTGCGGTCAGTGTGGGAAAATACTCACTTTATCGACATGTAAAGTCTCATGAGCACAAGAACTCACTCAAATATAAGGAATGTGGGAGAGTCTTCGAGTATAATTCAGCCTTTTGTGAACATATTAAAGACTGCTGTGGAGAATGTGGCAGTGTTTGCTGACTCATCAATGCTGACTATTCATGAAGAACTTCATAGAGGTGAGAAACCCTATAAGTGCACTGAATAAAGAAGTCATATTTCCTTAAACATTACTTCACTCACACAGTAAAGCAAGTAAAATAATTGTGATGTGTGGGACATTCTATAAATAGAAGACCTATCTCATTTTCCATCTAAGGAGACAAAAGAATGGACTATGAGAAAAATTAAAATTAGCTTTGCAGCAACTAGCTCACTGAGAGAAAAACTCCTACCAATTGAATAAATGTGAAAAAGCATGTTCTGAAAATTATAGTCCAAGTGACATTACTGATTTATTGAAAAGATAATAGACAATTTTGAGCTATAAATAATTTTACTGTAGAATTAAAGCTTAGGAAATGGTAAAAAATTGCATACTCTGTCTTCAGATGTCTATAATTCATTTATACACTGTTCTTGATTTGTGATGTTTATATAAATTATTGAAATGCCTGTATTGCTTAAAAATGTGTAACTATAGGTGTGAAATATATTCTATGCATATTATATAAAAATTATATCTAGAGCTGGGAATGTAGCTCAATAGTAGAGTACTGCCTAGCAGATATGAGGCCTTAGGCCCCCCACACATGAAAATACATATAGTGATTTAAGTGAAAATTTTCGATTTCGATTGCTTAATGTTAGAAAATTCTTCAAGCTTTTTCTTCAGTGGTTGTGGAGCTTGGGAGCACTAACTTCAACTTAAATTTACAAAATCAAGTTTTCTTTTTTGGTGGGGAGGTATTTATTTATTTAGATATTTTGTTTTTTTTGAGATAGGGTCTCACCATGTAGCCCAGACTGGCCTGGAACTCACAGCGATCCTCCTGCCTCAGCCTCCCAAGTGCTATAATTACAGGCGTGCACCACCACGTCTGGCATAAAATCAACTTTTCCAAGCATAGATTTTGTATTAAATGGATAAAAGTACAAGTTGCAGTTGTTTTTCACTTAGCAATTTTCAGAGGGTGATGATGAGTAGAGACTGAACAGAACAGATTTTCTGAAAATCAAAAAGTTAAGCTTTGTCTTGCTTCTTTAGTCCTAAGACAGTATGTTGCTTAAATGTAGCCATACCACATCACTCTGGCATCCACAAATGAGTATATATAGGAAATTATAAACACAGGGAATTTTGATATTATGAAATTATTTCATAAACTAATACCATCTCATCTTCCCTAGAAGGAAAGTGATTAAATCTAGACATCAGTTTTTCTTCACACTGACTTCTCTGTTTAGCACATGACAGCTCAAAACAAAGCAGCTGCCTTCTCCTATAGTAAGAGGGAGGAGGGGAGAAGGACAAGACTACCTTCCAAAAGAAAAAAAAAGCTAGAGAGGGTAAAAGAAGGCATGCAAAGTGGAATTCTAACCTAAATTTGGAAGTGACATCCCATCACTTTTGGCAAATGCTGTACATTAGAGTTAGTCACAGTCTGACATTGTGACCCAAGCCTGTAGTCCCAGCTACATGGGAGGCTGAGGCGAGAAGACTGTTTGATCCAGGAGTTGGAGGCAGACCTGCGCAGCAAAATAAAACCTCAGCTAAAAAAAATTTTTAAAAAAACACTACCGATCTTACTCAAGGGAAGAGATTACATAAGGATTCACAAACTAAAAGGAAAAGATCACTGGGGGCCATTTTAGAGGCTGCTGCCACCCTGAACATTACAATCTACCAGGAAGAGGAAAAGAAATGACAGATTGTGCATTTGCTCTTGAAAGTTTCCTTTTGGAAGTGGCACACGTTGCTTTTGTTTCTGTTTTGTGCCCAAATCCCATTCTCTCTGCTAACATCTAAGTGATAGGAAACTGCATTTCTCTGTGTATGTAACCCAGAATGTTTGTTAATAGTGCTAGTGACTACCACTACTACAGTGCAACCGTGGCAAAATAGTTTAATAGTCTTTTTTTTTTTTTGTCTTTTTTGAGTCAGGGTCTCACTACGCAGTTCAGGCTGGCCTTGAGCTCACTTTGTAGTCCAGGCTGGTCTCGAACTCGCAATAATCTTCCTGCCTCGGCCCCCTGCGTGCTGGGATTACTGGGGTGCGCCACCACGCCCGGCTTATCTTCTTACTTGTTTTTTTTGGTAAAAATCTTATAGATCTATATGTAGTACACGATGTATCCTTTAGGTTAATGAAAGTCAACAGCTGAGGCATCAAGTGCCCCACACTGTAGAAAGGGCCAAAGATAATTCAGGGACAGATAACCTTTCCACTCCCAGAATTTATTAAACAGGACCAAGCTGCCCTCTGTCCTCAGCCATCTTCCCAGACCTGCTCTGGCAACACGAACTTTCTCATGGAAGCAGGAGATTGTGGGGTCGGGATCGGGGTGGGAATTAACGGAGTCGTGAATGGACCTTGGGGGAGACTGCCAAGGCATTTTTCTCCAAAAGCCAAATAATGCCAAGAAATCGCCCCAAGATTAGGACTCCTTGCAAGGATTTTGGAGGCCTCTTACATAGAAACAGGGGTGGCCAAGTAGGCCATTATATGGTGGTGGGGAGAGGTGGGCCCCGGGGGGGTTGGTTGCCCTTCGGAAAAGGACTTGCCACCCTGCCTTTCAAGGCCTGCCTGAGAGCACTGCAGGTCACTGTGAGCCAGAGTGTGGAATTCCAGACAGGACCACCGCGCAGATGATCGGCACTTGTTCATTCTGCCTTTTGCCGCCCCCAAACTCTAAGAGAAGTCAAACTCAGGCTCCCGGGAGAGTCCTCGAAGCGCGGGCTGCATCCCGCCCCTGTCGCACCTTCAGGCTGCAGCTCAAGCTTCTCTAGCATGAGAAGCCGTCCGACTTCCACGGGAGGATCCTAGAGATTAAAGCTGAACAGTTTCTCAGCCTACGTGAGTCAGTTCCGCAGGGGGCCACGCGCCGCCGACCTAGGAACCTGCGGGTCAAGTGCGTGGGGCGGGGCCGCGTGGGGCGCCGGACTCCTGCGCAGGCGCAGTGCCGTCGCAGGGGGGGGGGTTGGGGGCGAGCAGAGGCCCGGCAGGTGAGTGGGCGGCTCCACTGCAGGTACCAGCCGCGGGACTGGGGTTCCCAGCAGCACCCTGCGTCAGCGGGAGATGAAAATTACAGGGCTACGGTCAGGGTTGTATGGAGAAGCTTGAAACACGAACTCTGTCCCCAAGACATAGTTTCCAAGAGTGGCTCCCGCTATCTGGAGGTGGAGGATTGACTCCTACCGGGTCTGCTCGCCATGCACAGGAGCGTTTGTAGAATCTGCCGCTCAAGTAGCTCTAGGACCCCTGTCTTCTACTCCAGCTTTGCCTTAGCAGCTCTGTACCCGCTGTCCTGGGCTGTGAGCATCCCCAGATTGGGGCCACCATTCCGGATCCAGCGGTGCGGGTCAGCGCGAGTCTCCCGTCACAGTGCAGTGTGTGCAGCTGCTTCGCCCTCGAGGCGTCAGGTTTTTCCCTAGGGGTTGCGTGTCCCGTGTCCAGAGGTCCCGAGCCTGAACGCTTCCAGGTATGTACAAAGGGAGGAGTTGAGTGTAATTCTTGAGCCCCCTCTGGGTTTCTGACAGGCACTCAGAAACCAGGGTAGGGGACGAAGGGTTTGGGGATGGACAGAGATTTGGGCCCCAGGAAAAAGACGCCAGTCAAAACAGGAACAAGCAATACTCTTAAAAATGAAGGCTGCAGCTCCCTCGGCAATTGGAACTTGTGTTTAGAGGATATACGTGTGATTTGAGTCCTTCCAAACCTAGTGAGCCAAAGCTGCAGGCCGGAGGAGGGAGGGGCTCTGCAATTGCAGAACCGTAGGGGTTCTGCAGGACGGTTGGCGCTAGTGACCACGCTCAGAGAATGGGGAAGGACACAGAAGATTTGACTCAGAATAGAAGGAAAGACTCCTTGAGATGGTGAACAGTCTGTAGTGTCAAGACATGACATCATAGTGCAGGATGGTTGAGGAATGGTTCATGAAATGCAAAAACAGTTCGATGTCCCCCTGCAAAGAGCAGCAAGGCAGGCCTGGTCTCTAGTGGTTCCTTTCTCCTCCAGCTCTGCCTCCTGACAGCCTGGCTTTGCCCAAGAGGAAGAAGAGAGGACTAGTTTCCAGGTGAGATGGAGTGGTCTTTCTTACTCCAGAATGTATCTGTTCTTGAAGAGGGAGGGGGTAATCTGACGTGGTGGAGCTCGCCTGTAATCCCAGCACTCTGGCAGGCTGAGGAAGGAGGACTGCAAATTCAAGCCCAGGGTGGGTGACTTAGTGAGACCCTGGCTCAAAATAGAAGGGCCAGGGCCCAGTGTGAAGGCCCTTGGCTCAATCCCCTGTACCACCTATCCCCAACTATTTCTTTCTTAGGAAAGGAGAAAGGAACCAACATTTATGTATTTATGGAGCACTTACTGCATGCTAGATACATTTAACATTAACTTGTCTTCAATACAGTGGTGAGAAGTGGATATTATTCCCATTTTACAGATGTAACAACTGGCTCAGTAAGGTCGAGAAATTTGTCATATTCTACCAAGCATTTTTT